TTTCCTAACGAATAGTCTCACATTTGCATAAAGACCTATTGTTCTATTTTGCCTTATTCTACTCTATACTTAAAATTTGAAGATTAAATAGAAAACCTGCCATACTCATCACAATAGGCATCCAAATCTTTCTTTTTTCTAAAGCCATTGATGCAATATAAATTGCATCATCACAGCAATTGACCAATGTAACACATTTTATAAATTCTTTAAATTGTATATAATAGAGGAAGAAAACTTTTTAAAATGTGTTAAATTAGTAACTGATTAATTCACTGTCAAATTTCAATACAGATTGTAAGAAAGAGAAAATAAAAGAAGAGAATTGTGACATTATACATAGCATAAAATCAGAATGTAAAGTTGTTTTGAAAAGATTGAATTTTAAAGTAAAAGCTGAAGATTGTAATGGAGCTTATCTCGTAGATGAATACGAAGATTTAAAGGTAAGTGAAACAAATTGCTAAGCATTTTACACATAAATAAAATTCTTATATTACTTCGTCTATATTATTAAAAGAGAAAGCGTATATAATAATGTTAATTTTTCGAAAAGCTTAAGTAATTTTTACAGTGATAATTAGTTTTAATATATCTGAAATCACAAAGGAACGAATTTATGATTTACTAATTTATAGCAGTTTTCGTGTATAATACATTTTTGTATTGTTTATATATTGTTTAGCCTGTCAAGAACGAATTCTTCACTCTGGACGAAAACTTTCACAGGAATGAATTGAACATCCAAAGTAAGTAAGATGTTAAAGTAGAGTTTATATCGATAGTATGAAGAATTCAGCTGAAATAGCTGCATGGAAGTTTCAACAGTCGAGTATGAAAATCGAGAATACGTGTAGTTTGAGCTAGAAAAATGATTTTAAATAGAATTTAGATTGTATTAATTAATATACTTTTAACAAATTAATTAAAATATTTCGGAAAGATTACAATCTCAAAATTGCAACTTATTCATATCCAGCATTAGGTAAACTGACAAATGAGATGACGAAAAATATCACAAAGTAATCAAAACTTCTATGCAACACTTGATTTTAGAATTAATAACAAATATATCAATGGATTATTTCAATCGTTTTTTATTTTTCTGTTTTACCTTTTGTCTTTTTCTCATCCTTATTAAGTACAGAAAATGTGTTAGAACTAGAAAAACTGTTGAAACCAGATTGAGAAAGTAATGCTCAGCAAAAGCATCTTTTGAAAGTTGTGGCTGTAAGCAGATTTGACAGTAAGACTTAACATTTGTATAAAGTGCATATTACATAGTCTACAACTACAGGAAAGTTTAGATGAAGCAATATCACCATGGTAATATTGTTTACTTACTTACAATATTTACTTTGTGCCTCGAACTTTCTTCGCTGATGTTGCTCAAAGATGTTTTAACGTACAGCCAAATTAATGTAGGTGTAACGACTTTAAGGCACAAAGTAAAGCTCGAAGCATTTTTCTGTTGCGATGCTTATTTGAGTTTTATTGTCAAATCTTCCTCCAGTATTTTTATGCCACAACTAAAAAAAGGTTTTCTTTATTTAGAGGTTTTCACTTCGTTTTGTTTTTTCAATTTGGTTTTTTTTTCATTTTCAGTTAAGCAAGAAGACCAGACAAAGCAATACGATAATCTGCACAATTCAAATACAGAGAAGCGTTATAAAAAAAATATCAAGAAAACGAAATACGTTGCTTCCGTTAGAAAATGCAATCAAGTGCAAAAAAAGATTAAAAGGAAATACATCAGGATTATGCTTGCATCTCATTCTAAACAAAAATTCACCTGTGATTTGTGTAAACAGACATTTATTAATAAGGGAATATTAAAAGCGCATTTGTTATTTCATATTGGAAAGAAACCATTCCGCTGCTTAACTTGCAATCAGAAGTTTTCGTGGCAATTTCTTTTACGAAGACACGTGAGAGAACACAACACTGAAAACCAAATCGAAATCGATAATAGAAAAGTTCGTACGAAGTCGTCTCCAAAAAATCGTAAAAAATCTAATACTGGACGTAAACGGCTTCAATGTGATATTTGCAATCAACGCGCTTGGTCGAAGGATCGTTTAGAGAGACACATGAGAAAACACATACCTCATCGTTGTAAGATATGTAACAAAGAGTTTAAATTCGAATGTCGTTTGAGAACTCACGAAGAGGTGCATAGTGAAAACCGACCTTTCAAATGCGATATTTGTAATAAGTGTTATAAAACAAAAAAGTGTTTGAAAATACATTACGAAATTCATAGTGAACGACGTGACTATTCCTGTGAGATATGTAACAAACGTTTTAAAACAAAACGCTCTTTGGCACATCATAAAGTCATTCATAGCAACGAGTTTAATTATTCTTGTGAAGTATGTAAAAAACGTTTTAAACGCAGTGCTGATTTTAAAAACCATGTCGATCTACACACAAACGAATACAAGTATTCTTGTGATATATGTAACAAAAAGTTTAAAATTAAACGCTATTTGATACGGCATCAATACTATCATATCGACAGAAATAAGTACGTTTGTGACATATGTAAAACAGGTTTTAAACATAAATATCTTTTGGTAACGCATCGCTTTGTTAAACACGAAGATATGTTCGTATGCAAATATTGTACTGCGCCATTCAGAACCGAAAATATGTTGAAAGCTCATTTGAAAAATCATATTGAAAAGTGTAACGTTTGTAATAAGGAATTTAAGGATAAACGCTGCTTTATTCTTCATCAGAAAAGTCATTATGAGGTAAAACCGTTTCTTTGCGAGACGTGTAACAGAGGATTTCGAACTAAATACCTGTTAAAATGTCACGAAAGTTATCATAATCAAGACAATTATCGTCATGTTTGTGAGGTATGTGAAAAGGGGTTTGATAACAAAACTAATTTCTTAAAGCATCAACTTATTCACGCAGAAAAACCGTATCCTTGCATTAATTGCAAAAGAAAATTCGAAACTGAAAGTGAACTGAAATACCATTTAAAGTTTATTTGTACGAAAATACATCCGAAGCAATCTCCTTATCAATGTAATATCTGTAAAGAGACTTATATAAATGCACATGATTTGGAGCGTCATCTAAATACTTACAATTATGAGATGCATTTCTGTTGTGATATTTGCAGAAAGAAATTTACAAGGAAAGTCGAATTTGAAAGTCATCGAAAGACCGCTCATCCCTCGAGAGGAAAACATCGATGCAATATTTGCAAAAAGACATTTAAATCAGAGGATCGTTTGAAAAGACACGTGGAGTTAATTACCGATACAAGCGTTAAGAAATGTGATATTTGTAATAAAAAATTTTGCACGAATCTTGCACGAAGTGTTCACGTTCGAAGCCATCTTTGACCATAGAATTTCTCTTGTGAAATTCGTTAAAACAAATTGAATGCTATATTTTTAAATAACGTCTAAGTTAATACAGTAAAGATATTATAAAATAACGAGCAACACGTTGAAATGTTTAATAAACACTTTGCTGATTACTTTTATGTCAGTGATTTCGTTTATAACAATTACAATCAAAGAAATTATTTGTTATGTAGCCCTTTAAAATATCTTTAAAAATTACTTTATCTCGTTGTATTTTCATTGTTTTACTTAAACTTAGATTTAAAAATAAAGTTATAAAATTGGAATTAAATTAAATTAGTTATTGTGTGGAGAAATTCATAAATATTTCTGTACGAAATTCATTTTCAATTAAATAAATGATGTTTAAACGTTCTGAAATCATGTTTCTATAAATTTATTTTTTTTTAAAGATTTTCTGAAGTTACATCTTTAATTGAATTGAATCTGTTATTTATAACTATTTGATGAATATTGAATTCCTCTACTTTAAGTAGAAGTGGCGAAGATCTACATTTTCTGTTATCTGGATGGGAAAAAAGCGAAAACAGTGACCGTAATAATCTTTGAACTGTTCTGTAACAGAAAATAAAACAGAGCAAATTATAAAGTAGAATCTCCCGTTGTTTGATATTTACATTTATACTTTTCCTGCTGTAATATAGTACTAGGTATTTTCTGGATAAAAGCTGAGCTTCGCAGCAGAGGTTTTACTGTTTCTGCTTGACGCGTAAACAGAACTTCGGTGATACGCTTGTAACGTCTTGTGTAAAGTGATTGAAAACCCGCAGACTCTAGGAAGGAAGTGCATATTCAACGTCATAACCGATAGAAACGTTTACAACACGAACATGTGCGGCCAGCAACCGGTGAAATCGCACGTGTACGGCCGTAGGACACGCGTGTGTATTTTCAGACATTGATTTTGTGATCAGAATGACTGTTTAGTGTCTCGTCAGGACTGACACCACCGTGTCGACGAGAATTCAGCGTTGATTCTGTCGCGCGAGTGGCCGCGTGCAAGGGCGATCGGATCCGGGATTGAGATGGGTACACTCGGATACCAATGTAACAACTAATAACTATTTAATTTCATAGATAACATGATACAGTTTACCATTTCGTTCAGTTTCGTTAGGCCTTAACTTCAAGGAATCTTTAAACGAAAGCGGTCGCGAGAAAGAGAGAGAGTTTACAGGAGATTCGCGTGGCGATAAATGCCTTGGACTGATGATGTTCGAAAATAGTCTTATTCTCGTTCTTCTTCGTATAGCAATGTATCCTAGTCCCTTGAGATAGAGTTCGTCTTCAATATGCGTATCCATAGACGAGGAAGTATCCGTTGAATTGAAGTATATCCGTTGGCACTAACCTAATCTAATTTACGAAAACACTTGTAGTAAAACCCGTTAGAAAGCTATCTCGAGATATTATTTATAAAACAAATTTTAGAAAATGAAGTTTCGAAAACAAAGATTATATATTTTTTTGAATAAAGGCCCACCAGTGGCCAAGCAGTATTCGTACGCTGAACATTAGGAGTTCGGTCGTGGGTTCACGCTCGTTTAGACGGGCTGGCCACGTGGAATTTTCTGGGTTTTCTCCACGTCTGTAACTTCTAAATAGCGGCCACTTTCCCTTAAAAGAACTCCCGGAAGGCATCCCTCCTAGTCAGATCGCCCAAGTGTTTCGTTGCCATAACTTAACAAACAAATAATAGATGCTGCAAGGGAGTATAGCATCGCCCCTTCCATTCTGTCAATGATTTTGAAAGATCACTCAGCATCGAAAAAAGTTTAAAAAATCGTACGTATAGTCCAGTTTTAATTAAATTTTAAAAAATGATCAAAGGAGACGTAATACAGACGATTAGCTTTATTCTGGGCAACTTATACTGAAATTTCTTAGCTGGATTTATGTATGGTACTGTACGTGCATTTGCGGAATATATTTACCAAAAACTGTATAATTTTGAATATTTGAGTAACATGACGAAAATGGCCAGTTTATTTTATTTTTCTCTCTTGTAATGGATTTTCTACAAAAAAAAAAAAAATTTAAAAAATGAGAGAAAATAAAATTAATTCTTAAAACTATGTTCAACGCCCGTATGTAGCAAGTACTGTACAGTACATGTGTTTGTAAGTAGGTTTTTTAAATTACCACCGCAAGAGGGCGCATTACCATAAAACGCCATGTGGTTTAGACAGGGACAAACTATTACTGTATATCCCTTGTCCCGTCGAAGTGTCATTCGTCGAATTTCTTCCGTTAACCTTGAGTGCGCGCCCCTTTGTTTAGTGCTATTACGCTGATAATAGAACTGGGTTTACTTGTCTTTCTTCCTTACTTGTTCTAAATTTCGAGTGAACGTTAATATTATTTAATGTTGATTAGTGACACTATTCACTTAGGAGAGGTAAGTGTTTCCTATTATATGAATTTTGTTCGTTTATTTCTGAAAATATAAATTTCAACTGCACAGTTTTAAAATCTTTCATCTGTTGAATAGACTGTTGACACACGACAATATTCTAAACTGAGAAAATGAAGATAAAAGTAGAGTTGGAAAGAGAAGATAAGGATTTCACTTCTGAAAGTAAAGAAAATTTGGAAGTTGTTTTAAAGAACTGTAAGAAAGAATTCAATACGGATGAAAAAATCTTTGATAGAAAAATTAAATTAGAACCTTTGCAATATGATAACGATGAGAATATAGAGGTAAGTAAACAAATTGTTTTCTATCTTCTTGTATAAACAAAAACATGCGCCTGCTACGTACGAAAGACTTACTTGAACTTCGGTTTCTGGTTAGTCGTAATTAAACGACACACCAGTGAACGATGCCTGGAAATTGTTTTAATTCGTAGGATATTGAAACAAGTTTAAGATATGAAGAAGAACAAATATAAAGATTTGGAATTTCCAGATTCTTTCGACGAATACGTCGGAAATAACATTTTTAAACGGTTGAAACTCGGAGCAAACATTGACTGCAGACATTTGGATTTATCTTACACAAATTACATATACCTACCTACACAAAAGAAGCTTTTAAAATATGTAAAAGTTTGGAAGAGTTTTAATTAGCCAATAATGCATTCGAACATTGTGTATTTGAAAATATTTTTAAGTTTATTACTTTATATTCTTTAGTACAATATACAGTATTCAATTAAGCCAGTTCTGAAATATTTTACAACTGTAGATACACGGATTTCAAATTGGAAACTTAGATGATTATTCACAAATCACTGTGTTATTTTTTACCAAGGCCATGATAAACTGAGTAAACTTCTTAGAGTACAAAATGCCTTCGATAGCAATTCGTTTGTCGACACGTGGTCGTCGACTCGACGGTTTTTGGACGATTGTCAGATCGTGCGTATTTAAAAGTTCATACGAAAGGAACGTGCATTGTAGGCCACAAAAGAATCTTGCATGTGCTTATGTTGGGTTCTTTGTTTTATTTCAGCCATGTCCTTGCTGGGATTACGATACTGAAAGACGTTTTGATAGATTTTTATAGACGTAAAAACAAAAATAATTTCGTTGATTTTATTGAAATTATAAACGCTACGTACGTATGATGACAGCGAATCCATTTTCTTTCGGTTCCCCGTTTTCGTTTTCGTTTATTATTAAATTTCTGCCAAATAGGAAACAAATGTGAGGCTGGAACCTCACCCCCTCAAACTGGCTGTCGAGTTAAAGCCAATAAATCTGTGACTTATTTCGTAAACAGACTGGTGTTGCCAAGGAACGGGGTGCGAGACGATTTAATTGTCGCATTCCAGACCTAATTGACAGATCCCCAGATCGTACAGATCGTACATCGTGTGAGCGAGAGAGGGATCGTCCGCCGGATAACTTTGGACTGTCACGTTACAAAGAGTTCAAAGCGGGACCTGCTGGAGGGGGCGGCTGGGACAGCTGCGTCTTTTCCGAGACAGAAAAATACACATTAGAGTAAAATTTACGGGTCCGTCATCCGGTGAAGGGATTGACCCGACTCCGGAGGGGAACGGCCCGGACGTGGGAGTTCGGGGTTGTTCGGCGACTCCGCGGCTGGAATCCGCGCCACTGGCAACAACCAGAGACCAATGAAGTTATAAGGAACCTTGCTGCTTTATTCGAAAAATGAGGCGCAAGAGATTACTCGGATAATGGGTGTAGCAAGAACAATGCCTGTAGGTAGTTTGGTCTGCGAGATTAACGAAAATCGAGCTCTAGTATTGATCGACAGAGGCGCGACGGTAACGTTGATATTAAAGGCATTCCTCCCGGATTGGAATACGTTTCCTCGATTAGCGCCCGGACCAGTAGAGCTGTATAGCGCTTCGGGATTATACAATCAAAAATTATGGGAAGTATAAGTTGGTTTTCGAAATCGGGAATCTGATGTTTGCTCACGATTGCTATCTGGTCGATCTAGACGTTACCGGATCAAATGACTGCATTCTCGGACGAGAAGCTTTCGTGCAGAATGATCTGACGATCTCCATGAAAAACGCGGAAATAATTTTCCCGTCAGGAGAAAAGGTGTCGTTCCAGGGTGAAGCGGAACCCGTTGAAGGCGATTGTTTATGGGACGAGCCCGGACAATCGGCCCGATGCAGCCAAGGAAATATTCAAATTCTACGGAAATTAATAATAGTAGTAATCGTAGCAATAGCAGTGGTAATTGATTTAGCATTAGTATTAGTAATAGTAATAGAGATAGTAATAATTAAAACGTTGGTAGCGGTAATGATAGTAATATTTGTAAAAACACGACAATAAGTAACGGTTATATTAACGGCGTAAGTAGCAGGAAAATTAAGAACGATAGATTAGTTAGTTTTAAAGAAAAGAGAGAGAAAGGCTGGTGCGTCGAAAGAAACGCAGCAGCCGGAGGTGAAACGGAAACTCCGCTAGAAAATTGGAAAAGTTCTCGTTCCGGAAGTGACTTTCCTAACGAAGTCGTCTTAAGCCACGATTACGCCATTCCCTCTCGGTTTTGAAGTGATTGTATTAGGGGCAGGCAAATGAAAACGACACAGACTATATAACAAGTGTGGCACGGAAGTTGTAATGCAGGTAGGTGTGTATATAGAAGTGCCCTCTATTGGGAATCAGGAGAGAATAGCGTGAACGTTCACCGCTGTGCCATTTGTCTGTTAGACGTGCTCGAAGTCAGGTCGGCGAGTCGTGTGTGCATTCAACAGCACTATGGAAGTTCGCTGCTTGTTGACTTTCTGGAACACCGCGCCACAATTAACGCACAGAGGTACATAGAAACTTTTCAAAAATTGAAGCGTGCCATCAAATCCAAACACCTAGGAATGTTGACAGACAGCATCATTCTGTTGCAGGATAATGCCCACTCACATGTTACCAAGGTTGTTTTGACTACGCTGCAGAAGTTCCCAGCGAAACTTCTGCAGCGTAGTCCATGCACATCCTCCATACAGTCCCGATTTCTCTCCACACGTTTTCCATATTTAAGAAAGGCATTCTTGGGCGTCAATTTGCTTCGGACGAAAAGGTGCACGCCTGGGTACAATCATGGTTCTGTAGGCAACAGCAAACATTTTTCTATGAAGGCATTGACCGTCTTGTCTTACAGTGAGATAAATGTATTAACAGTTACGGCAATTACTTTTGAAATAATAAACAGTTTACTTACCTTTTTCCCATCTATCTCGTTTTCATTTGACTGCCCCTAATAAAGGGGAGAGTAATCTCGAAACAGGGCAACCAAGTAGGCGTGGTAGAGCCGTTTACACCCACGCAGGGACATTTATTTATCGCCGGTGTCTTGGTACGAACGCGAAAACGCAGCGAAATCACTGTTCACTTTATGAATACGGACGTGCATCCGATGAATTAGTAGATTACGTGCTAAGGTTGTTTCACGACATCCCTACGGCGGGACATTTAGGCGTAAGAAAAATGAGGCGAAAAATATGGACTAAATTCTTCTGGTTCGAAATGGCTAGGGATATTACCCGTTATTGCCAGAGCTGTCAGGAATGCACTTTGCGTCGACATGAAATTTCCGGACACCAGGCACGGTTACAATCGTTTCCTCGGATTTAGAGACCGTTTGAGATGACCGCGATGGATATACAGGGCCCGTTTATAACAAAACACAAGGGCAATAAATACTTGCTAGTGTTCATAGACCACTTCTCCCGGTGGGCGGAAGCGGTTCCTATCCCAAACGCTACGGCAGAAACGGTCGTCAAGACTTTCGTGACCCAAATCATTTGCGACACTCGGTACCTAAAATTACTTACTGATTGAGGAACCAATTTCACATCGAAATTAATGCAGAAAATATGCAAATTATTGCGCATAGATCGCCTTCTTACTACTGCGTATCAGCCGGAATGTAACGGTATGGTGGAACGTTGAAATAAAAACTCTTATCGACATATTAACACATAAGAGTCCGATCCTCAGGCGATTGGTGCGCGTGCCTCGCTAGGTTACGCGTTGAGAAGTCAATGTGCAGTGCCAGAGCAACCTTGGGTGTTGCCGACAACTAGTCGGATTAGACAGACGCCGCGAGGGACTACGAAACTATAACTAATGCGGATATAAATTCGAGCGCGGAAGACATGGTCAACGGATCGGGAATGGCAGAAAAAGACCAGATAAATCCCCAATTATCATCAGTTCCTCTCGGTCTATTCACTAGATGTGAATGATGGCCTCATTCCTCGGAGAAGAGGTCGTCATTAAAAGACATCGAAATTGAACAAAACTGCTTGCGAGCCGGGCAGGCCACCTTCATCGGAGTTCGGGGCCTGTGAAAGCCGCGAATGTGGAATTCGTGGGTGAGAGATCGACGAATCTCAATCTTTTCTTCTTGTTTTCTTTTAAGGGAAAGAGAAAGTTGGAAAGAGCCATGCCTCGACGGAAAAGCCAAGACATGGAAAAGCGAGATGATACCAGCCAATCGCGGATCTGGATGAGATGGCGGTCACCTTGGCTGGACTTCTGGATTGCCCGGTCTGCTGGATTGCCAGTTTACGGAAGAGTAGAGGAATAGAATAAATGTTAAGTGATTTTCTAGAATTACATCGCGAGCGATATCACAAAGGCAGACATGGCAGGATCAGCGAAGGAAAATAGTTACGTGACCACGTGTCTCATCTGACGTCATGTCGAAAGCAACAGTTTGGATGCCTTCCAGGATGTCTTTTTAAGGGAAACGAGCCCTTATTTAGGCGTTACAGACGTGGAGAAAACCCGAAAAACTTTACGTGGCCAGCCCGTCCGAGCGAGGTTCAAACCCACGACCGAATTTTCAGTGTTTAGGGTACAAAGAACGCTCGGCCACTGGTGGACTCGAAGGCGACAGCATTCAGTAGTTTGCACCGGAGTTAAAAAGAATAACGTTAATGCAATAGTTGATTCCGGGAGGATCGTTTTATTATCGGATGTAGGTAATCCGGCTTGGATGCAAATGCCTTGATCTTTCATCTGCAGTTTCCATGTGCTAGAGGGAAAAAAATGACATTTTGGGACTTGAGCGGGTGGTGATTTATTTTAGTTTTCGTACTAATTATTATTTATAATTTACAGAAGATATTTGACTTGTGATGTTATTGAACACCAATTTGAGAAAATTCATAGACCGTAAATTGCTACTGTCTTCCGTTTGTCAGAGTGTCGTTCTTTAATCTCCAGAACAAAGTTAGACAGGTGAAAGTTTGGATAACATTTGGAAAGATTGGGAGCAGGAAGCCTCGATTAACTTTATTTCAATTCAGAAGTTTTCTCCTAAAAGGTGTTAAATGATTGGCACGACTCTGTTGCTAACAGGATAAGTATAATTTACAGGGGCGAGACACTAGTAATTTGAGATGAAGTGTATACACTTTACATTAAATAAATTAAGAATGTGATTGAACATTTAAATTTGGTATTGAGATAAATCAATACAATGATATAATATACTTTAAAATTTAATTATTAACAAATTGCTATTTACATATTCATGAAGTATCAAGAGGCTACTGCTTATAAATACTTGAATAAATTAGTTTAACTGAAAATCAGGATATAAAGCTAACACGTACATAGGTCCATATATATTATAGATTCAATGATTAAATGGTATTATAAGTTCCAATTTAAATACTTTACATTTATTTTTGTATAAACATCGACTTGTCTAATAATGTAACTTATTGTTTCAATTATTTCAGATAAATACTTATGGAAACTCANCTAAAGCGGATCATCTTCTATCTATTTATATAAATAAAAATGTAATGTTCCTTTGTTCCTACCGATTCCTTTGAAATTTTGACACAACGCTGCATTCGAATACGCACATGTTTTTATATAATATACGTGTCGAAATTCCCCCCTGAAGGGAGATGGTTAGAATTAAGGCTTACGGTAAAGAACTCTGCTTCTATTTATACTATTTTAGATGCGGGTTTTTGCGTGTTTGATTGCGTTTTAATAGGGTACGTCAAGAGAATGTACACTAAGAAGAAATTTTTCCCCCACGAGGGAAGTGTAATACATTTATAATAGATACATTTTGAGCCACAACAACGCGTGGCACGGTCTGCTAGTTATATATAGAATTACAAAATAACAGATATATGATTTACTAACTCATAACGATTTTCCTAAACAATATATGTTTTGTTTATAAATTGTTTAGCCTGTCAAGAACGAGTTTTTCACTCCCGACGAAATTATTAACTGGAATGAAACAAACGTACAAAGTAAGTAACACATCACAAGTTTATTTCTTAAATGCTCTTATTGTTGTTGCATATTGTTTAATCTAAAGTTTTCTGCAGTTCTGTGATAACTAGATATTATTTTGTTAACAGATCTATTATACAAGGGAAACTATTTTGTAAAGGAAAGTCATTTTTATTGTTCTCAATATAAATGCATTTCGGGTTACGCTCCTCTTCATTTTGATCAAGAAAATAGTTTATTGTTGTACACATTATTGTATTGTTTTCTAGAACATTGTCTCTATAAAAGCAGGCGATTACGCCACGTTTATTTGCTAACCAATCGAGTGAAGAAATAAAAAAATAAATAATTTTTTAGATTAATTATAAAAATTACAAGAAAAGCTTACATTTGTATTGTGTACTTATAAAATTGGTAACAAGTTATCTTAAGTGATTACATTTTGATATTACTTAAACTTGAATTTTTAAAATATAATGGGCGCTTCATTATGTAACTTTTTAAAATTTTCAGTTAAGGATGAAAAACAAAGTAAAGAAGATGATATTCAAGAGAATTCAAATAGAGAGAAGCGTTATAAGAATAATATCAAGAAAACGAAATACATTCCTTCCGTTAGAAAATGCAATCAAGTGCAAAAAAAGATTAAAAGGAAATACTTCAGGGTTATGCTTGCATCTGATTCTAAACAAAAATTCACGTGTGACTTGTGTAAACAGACATTTATAAATAAGGAAATATTAGAAGCGCATCTGTTTTTTCATGTTGGAAAGAAACCATTTAGTTGTTCAACCTGCAATGAGAAGTTTTCGTGGCAATTTCTTTTACGAAGACACATGAAAGAACACAAGAATGGAAATCAAGTTGGTGTGCAATCATCTTCAAAATATTGTAAAGGATCTAATATTCAGGGGAAAATCTGTCAATCTGATATTTCTGATAAACGCCTTCGATCAAAGTACCGTTTACAGACAAACAAAAGAAAACACATACGTCCTCGGTGTAAGATATGTAAGAAAGAATTTAAATACGAATCTCGTTTGAGACGTCACGAAATAACTCATAGTGAAAACCGTCCTTTCAAATGCGATATTTGTAATAAGTGTTATAAAACGAAAACACATTTAAAAGTTCATTATGAACTTCATACTGAACAATATAACTATTCTTGTGAGATATGTAAGAGACGTTTTAAGACTAAACACTATGTGAGTCATCATAAAAGGGTTGTTCATGACGATGACTTTAATCAATGTGACATATGTAAGAAAACATTTAAATCAAAACTGACTTTAAAATTGCATAGTGTTATACACAGCGATGAATACAAATATTCTTGTGATATTTGTAACAAACATTTTAAAACGAAAGCCTCTTTGAGATACCATAAGATTATTCACAGCGATAGAAGTATGTATGTATGTGAAATATGTAACGCAGGTTTTAATTATAAACCAGCATTTGTCAGACATCGCTTGATTGAACATGAAAAGATGTTTGTATGCAAATATTGTAATAAACCATTCAAAACGGAAAATATTATGAAAGCGCATTCGAAAATTCATATTAAAAGATGTAATGTTTGTAATAAGGAATTTAAAAATAAACGCTGCTTTATTAATCATCAGAAAAGTCATTTCATAAAACCGTTTGTTTGCGAGGTATGTAAAAAGCACTTCTATAGTAAAAAAAATCTCTTAAGGCACGAAGGGATTCATGTAAAAAAACGTTATCCTTGCATTAATTGTAAAATANTATATAAATAGAAATGGTAACATTTGAATAGAAACTTTGCATATATTTTATATGTAATGAATATTGATTAAATATAATTTAGTAATGTAATATTTGGCTTTGATAGAGTAAGGTTGTCAGCTCAATTTTCCATAATCATTTAATTGAGAATATCGACTATTGAATGACGTTTTTCATAATGTGTCTTGTATCATACATCAGATGTGCTGTGTTTCACAGCATTTTCTCAGCATCTAACCACAAATAATATGATAAAAAAGCATAATTTACAAGAATATTTTATGTCAAAAAATTATATGCTATATTTGTGAATATACAATAAATTTTATGTTAGCAAACTCATTTTATGGTTAAATGAAAATATTAAATAAGAATAAAATGTAATTATTAAAAATAAAATGAATTTTATTAAAAAATAAAAATGTTAAAACTAAAACAGCTTTTGATATAATAGACTAATGATTTATATAGTTTTTAAGCAGCATATGTTTTTTTTCCTCAAAACATAACAACTTTAGTAAATTTTCATTCTTGTATAAAGTTATAGTAAACATTGAGATTTCAACAAATACAGTTTGCATTAACTTTTTATTTTGTTATTCAGTTATGAGAACTAATTAGATTTCTGTGAAAATATTTGAATTTGCTACAATTCCGATTTAAATATTCTTTATTTAATTACACTCTATTGGATGGTTTTTAGTTCAGAAAAAATTTAAATGAATGGGTTTCAAATAAAAAATTAAGATTTCTAAAACATTAATTTACATAAATAATATGCATGATTATACTTATTTTAATTAAATAAGAATAGTTTGATTTTATAAAATTTATAAAATAGTTGTATAAAATTTTCTTTTACAGTTTACTATTAAACCAGTTGATAAAAATGCTCCTTCATTTCAATTTTACTCATCTAAACTTCGGACAAACAAATTGGTAAGTTAATGTATTTATTTATTAATTTATTTACACACACACACACACACACATAAAATATATATATAATCAAGTAATCTATAAGATAGATAAGATCAAAAGTATATCAGAATATATATATTTTTTTCCTTCTGTCCAGATATTATATTAAAAAAAGTAATTGCAAATTGAAGTTTTATTATGATGATCAGTATATTTGGTAGAATTGAAAGTTCATTTGGGTATTTACATAATCGCTCGTCTATGGTGCCTCTGTCGTGCTTGTCAAGTTTTAACTTGTTTTGGTTGAATTACGAATATTTGCATATTTATTACGTAAGTTTAATTACAGCTATTTTTTAAAATTTTGTTATCTTTTAAGAAAAAAAAACATTAAAATTCAGTATAAGAAGATGCATTTTGACATCTCATGCTCTATTATTTCCAAAAAGGAAAAAATGCGTCAAAAACTCAAAAAAAGATATATGCTGTATATGGGGAGGATGCAGTTACTGATCAAACATGCCAGAAATGGTTTTCAAAATTTAGGGAGGGAGATTTTTCCCTTGAAGATTCACCTCAATCAGGATGCATCCTGATTGAGGTGAATCTTCAAGGGAAAAATCTCCCTCCCTAAATTTTGAAAACCATTTCTGGCATGTTTGATCAGTAACTGCATCCTCCCCATATACAGCATATATCTTTTTTTGAGTTTTTGACGCATTTTTTCCTTTTTGGAAATAATAGAGCATGAGATGTCAAAATGCATCTTCTTATACTGAATTTTAATGTTTTTTTTTCTTAAAAGATAACAAAATTTTAAAAAATAGCTGTAATTAAACTTACGTAATAAATATGCAAATATTCGTAATTCAACCAAAACAAGTTAAAACTTGACAAGCACGACAGAGGCACCATAGACGAGCGATTATGTAAATACCCAAATGAACTTTCAATTCTACCAAATATACTGATCATCATAATAAAACTTCAATTTGCAATTACTTTTTTTAATATAATATCTGGACAGAAGGAAAAAAATATATATATTCTGATATACTTTTGATCTTATCTATCTTATAGATTACTTGATTATATATATATTTTATGTGTGTGTGTGTGTGTGTGTAAATAAATTAATAAATAAATACATTAACTTACCAATTTGTTTGTCCGAAGTTTAGATGAGTAAAATTGAAATGAAGGAGCATTTTTATCAACTGGTTTAATAGTAAACTGTAAAAGAAAATTTTATACAACTATTTTATAAATTTTATAAAATCAAACTATTCTTATTTAATTAAAATAAGTATAATCATGCATATTATTTATGTAAATTAATGTTTTAGAAATCTTAATTTTTTATTTGAAACCCATTCATTTAAATTTTTTCTGAACTAAAAACCATCCAATAGAGTGTAATTAAATAAAGAATATTTAAATCGGAATTGTAGCAAATTCAAATATTTTCACAGAAATCTAATTAGTTCTCATAACTGAATAACAAAATAAAAAGTTAATGCAAACTGTATTTGTTGAAATCTCAATGTTTACTATAACTTTATACAAGAATGAAAATTTACTAAAGTTGTTATGTTTTGAGGAAAAAAAACATATGCTGCTTAAAAACTATATAAATCATTAGTCTATTATATCAAAAGCTGTTTTAGTTTTAACATTTTTATTTTTTAATAAAATTCATTTTATTTTTATGACTTCTCAAACGTAGAACATTTTAAAAGTTTCTAAGTTACTTACGTTCCAAAGTTAAAAGTCCCAGTTTATGTAACCTAATTTGTTTTCTTAAATTTTATCAAAATATTGTGTATGAACACAATGTTTTGATAAAAATTTTAGAAATCTAATAAACATATTAGAAATTATCAAATATATCAATTCATAAACATAGCAATAAACTCTCATTGTGTACAGAAATTTGATTGTTAAGTGTGTGAAAAATTTTAAATATTCTTTGAAGTATCAAACTTCAAAGAATGTTTGTTTTTAAATTAGTTTTAATGGTAACAATCTAATTCTTTTAAGAAATAAAATTTTTAATTATATATGATTTTTATTTACAACTAATGTTACTTTATTGCTATTTAACATTAATTTTTAATTACTTACTTTTTTATCATCAAATGATATATTCCTAATCTCACTCCAAGGAAAATTAATTTTTGGTGCTAATTTGTTATTTTTTTCATAAATATTCAATCCTAATGCAGTGACTCCTAACCATAATTCACTATCTTTTTTATTCTATTAAATTAAAAGAAGAAAAAAAATTATTATTCTTAAAAGTTCAAAATATAAATTATTCAAAATTTTTAATTAGTAATCTATGATTCATCTAAACCAGAGCATCTGAAACTGTAGGTTGCATAATTGAATTTCAGGGTCACGAAAACTTTGGCAACTGTTCACAAAGGATGTCACTTCAATGTTCCTGTGTCAGCTTCTCCAACAGTGGTTAGCAAAAGTAATTATGAAAACTTTTTGACTTAAAATATTTAATTAAAATTGAAAACTCAGGCCTGTTAAGGCTTTGTATCTGGCTCACAGTCTTGATGATTTCTAAAGATCAATATTTCTAACATCTTGCAGGAATTAAAACAAAAAAAAAAATTCAAACATCTAACTGTTTATGTAAGTCATAAAGGTCTGGCAGCATGAGGCCTTTGTTAGAGCTTTTTTTAAATTACAGTATGTTTTTGGTTTACAGAGTAATATTGAATACAGTCTGAATCTGATATTCATGTGTTTGGCACTTTGCTGCATTTGAGTTTGAGATCCTTGACATATGTTTAGGCAATCAGTGACTGGCTTGTGACAAACAATCTTTTGAAAATGAGAGATGATGACCAGAATATACCCCCTAGTCTTCTTCCCTAGCCCCTAGAAGTGCTTTCCCTGGACCATTGCTGCCAATATGTTGTATATAGTGAACACAACTCGATTCACTTTCCATGATCTCACAAAATGAAAATTTATCTTCTCTTGGCCTATCACACAGACTTATTCAAACTGAGTTAGTTGTTTCTGATATGCAGTTCATTGTCACCTTTGAGGCATTCTATATGTTGTAACTAATGTCACCCCCAACTTTTTAGTGACACTAATACTTATAAACAGCTCCACATATGTATTGATACTTCTAATTTGCATTTGCTGTGGCACTGTGAGTTGTGCCCTTGAATCTGGTATCATATAAATAAATGTATGTGTAATTTTTTGTTCACCTAGTATAACTCATTATTGGTGTTAGGATTTCCTTTTCCGGCAGTATAGAATAGAATAGAATGTTTATTAACGTAATAGGCAATAGCCTGTTACAAGGGGGATGTTTATACAATTATTAGAACTTTACATAAATTAACTTTTCGATGAGCATTCGCCTTCAGTCTGTTACAATCAGGGTGGTTGGATTTCACAATTTCTTGATTATCTACACAGATTTATTTCTACATCTAATTATATTTTAACTTATACATCACATTCAGTATGTACTGTACCTTTTTACCCGTTTTAAAAACACTTCAAATTTATTCATTATTCCGTATACAGTATCTCAATGTTTTTACATTACATAGATCTTATTTTCGTTATTAAATTTATATTTATGATAGCTACTTTAACATAGTAGATTAATTTATTCTTATTTCTTCATTTTTTGCTTTACTAAATACTATGATCAAGTGTTTATTAATTATTAACTTTGACTGTCACTTCAAATTATCATACAGGTTACCGTAGAACCAATTATTATGTTAGGGTCTATAAATTTCTTTAGTAAGACTTTATAATTTTTTCGCAAAGACCCTATATATATATATTTTTTTTTCCAAAACCCTATTGGACAGATTTTTTTTTTTTTTTTTTTTTTTTTTTTTTT